GGGATGCTCCGCGGAGGCACCCACCCCTCATCCCCCTCCTCCTCCTCCTCCTCCTCCTCCTCCTCCTCCTCCTCCTCCTTTGTTCCGCCCCATCATCGCCATGACCATCTTCCTCATCATCAGCATCGTTATCATGTTCATCCTCATTGTGCAGACTGGCTATCCTCAAACGTATCGGGCGGTAGCTTCGTCTGTGAGTGAATCGCGAGGAAATCTCGAGCGGGAGCCCCTTGTTCGACCTTTGGGGTACCCACCTCCATGTGCGAATCCGAACGGGTCATCCAAACCCTGCAATTGTCCTCGCGTCTGGGCTCCTCAGGCCTGAATCTGGGGGAAGCTTCGGCCGGGAGCCCCGTCAGTGATGAAGCCGCGAGGAAGTCGAGCGGGTGCCCCCTCCTTTTGGCACCCATGGAGTGCCCGCCTTCATGTGAGGATCTGGGCGGGTCATCTAAAACTCGAACAACCTTCGTTGTTGTGGGGTTCCTGATGCTTGAACATTGAGGGAGTCTCGAGCGGTGACTTCGTTGTTGACTGAATCGCAAGGAGGTCTCGAGCGGAAACCATCTCCCCATGGGGACCCCACTTTCATGTCCGAATCCGAGCGGGTCATCCAAATTGTCCAACTGTCGTCACGTTTGGGCCCGTGGTGCCCGAATTTCGAGGAGGTCTCGAGCGGGAGTCTCGAACAACCATATGCTCGCCACAGTGGGCTCTCAACCGAGCGATTCTGGCAATCGGTGTGGTGCAATCTACGTGGAGCCACGAAGGTGGTGCAGTATTATTGAATCGCTTCGCTCATTCCGCCGGCCCGTGATATGGCATCGCTGGTTTTTGTCTGTGTGTTCGTTGCCCATGTTGCGCTCTTGGGGGCGGGTGTCGTTCGGACGCGTTGCGTGGGGAGTTTTGATGGTGAAGCAGTTCCCTGGGGGTCGTCTCTCGATGGGGCGAAATAGAGTCGTCGTCAAGATGCTTCTTTGGGGGGCCTCTTGGGGTCTGTTGAGAGGCCGTTCGGGGGCGCCTGGGAGACATGTTTGAAGCCTTCTGGGGCTTCTTTTGGGCCTCCTGGGAGTCTCCTGGGGCCTCTTGGCGACATCTTGGGGCCTCTTGGAGGCCTCTTGGGGCCTCTTTGGGACCTCCTGGGCGCCTTCTGGGACGGAGGGCTCCATTTTTGAGTTCTCGGTATCCCTCCTGAGTCCCTCTTGGGCCCGTCTTGGGGCCTCTTGGTCCGTCTTGGGCGGCACTTGGGCCGTCTTGAGGGCTCTCTTGGGTCGTTTCGGCGCCGTCTTGGGAGCTTCGTGGGCCGTCTTGGAGCGGTCTTGGGGGCCTCTTGGGCCGTCTTGGAGCGTCCGGAAGCCGAAAAAGCCAGAACACAAAAAACATCGAAAAAACAATGAAAATCAACGATTTTGGCCTCTTGGGGCTCTCTTCGGAGGCCTCTTGGAAGGCTCTTGGGGCGTCTTGGAGGCCTCTTGGGCTGTCTTGGGGGCCTTTTGGGCCGTCTTGGGGTCATCTTCGGCGTCTTCGAGCGCTCTTTGGGCGTCTCGGGGGCCTCTTGGGCAGTCTTGGGGGCCTCTTGGGGCACTCTGAGCGCGCTCTGGGGAGCCTGAGAGGCCGCACCCAGAAGGAAAACCATCTCTGAGTAGACTTGGTCGGGCGGCGGTCGGGCGGCGGTCGGGCGTTGGTCGGGGTACTTTTCGCCAGGGGACCCCCAGGGGCCGCCCCGCGCGCGCGAACTAGAAATACTGTTAATACTGTTAACCAGTTACCGGAGATCTTAGCACGCCCTGGCCCGTTGGGCCGGCGAATTTTCACAAACGAACTTACACATCCCATGCTCTTGTAATCATCAGACCCACCCACACGCAACTTGGTTTGCAAAACCCACAAGGTGGCGATTGCGATGCATGGTTGGCGTTGGCTGGTGCGCCTCTTCGGACGAGCCACCCAAGACACGCACGCGCAGCGGCCAGCTAGTCTGGCGCGACCGACGCGGCCGCGGTGGCGCTGACCGCTGGGCACTTGGGCGCAGACTGCAATGCCCGAGGCGAGGCCCTCAGAATTTGCCACCCAGGGCAAGTAAAGGCCACGGCCCATGATGCGATGGATGCCGCGCAGCTAACTCGCTTGGAAACCCGTCTGGGTATGTCAAAATCCTGCGCAATGTGATCATCGGCGGCGCGGCCGCCCTGAGCGCGCAGTTTTCGCCGGGGGGCATCGAGCGCCTACCATTCGCCTGCGTGCGCGCGTATCTGGTGCGCAACGCTACTTTTTACAATCCTGCTTCGACGGAGGTTGGGCCCCGAATCGAAGCTGCCTGAACATGGTTTGGCCTCTTTAAACACGAGTTTGCTGCTTTTTGCAGTCGCGGAAAAATCGCGCGCGGCTATTGCGCGGCACCATTTCTTTAGCGCTACTTGACGGCGCCGGCTCTTGGAAGCAGGCCGTTCCGTCGGAGTCGCGCGCGCGATCCATTCGGCGCCGCGTGCCCAGGCTGACCTCTGGATTTCCACGACGTGGGGCCCCGTGCGATTGCGGAGATCATGTTGTAGAGCGCAAGGCTGATTGCGCCAGCGCGGCTCCGGGGCCGATTTTTGGTTGAGACCGCAGCGGCGCGACCAGTGGCAGCAACGGCATCAACGACGACGCCCACTCTGCTGAAAACTCGGGCCGAACGAAAGGGGGGGATAGGGAAAGGGGGGGTTACGAAATCTGCTGCATGCAGCTGGTTTCGGCCCTGCCGCCGGGCCCATTCCTCGATACCTGGGCGCCTCCCGGCGTCGGGAGGCGCTGGGAGAATCAGCTACGCGAGCTGATTCTCAAACCCCTCCTTTGCTATCCCCCCCTTTCGCCCGGCCCGAAAAACGGCACCACGTTGTCATCGAGGCCTGGGCCTCAAGATGCATTGGAATCGCGTCGCGCGTGGATTCAGATATTCAAATAGTGCGCCGAGCTCGGGTGCGACGACTGGCGCGCGCGCGACAGAAACGGCGAGCGTCGAGGTCCACGGCTGCAGCGGCGCACGGCGGCCCAGAAGAAGGAACCGACAAGACTTCCGCGTGGGATCGATGGATTACCGAAGCACATGCCACACCGACCGTGCAAACGGTGGGGCGACGTAGCAGCGCTTCTTCGTGCGATGTGCGCAGAGGGTGATGCATCAGCTGTTTCAGATTTTAGAACTACGGACAAATGTGGAAGATTCGTGCGTGTCCCGCGCAAGACGACCAACAGTGACACGACCACAAAAGATGGAGTGAATGGATCAGGATCTGATATGCGGCGTTCGAGTGCCGCCAGCGCCCCGGCGCCACCGCTTGGCCCCGCGTGGGGCCGTCCCCCTGGGACGACATAGGCGGAGTCTCCAGTCTTCAGTCTCCGCCTTCCCTCTCTCCATTTTTCGTTCCCTCCCCTCCCCCTGCCTGCCGGCGGCCGCGGGTCGCCTCATGATTGATAGCGGCCCTTCTAGAGGCAGTGCCGGAAAACATGTGTTCTTCGGGCGATGACGACATTTGCCGCGCTGCGAAGGCAACCGCGTTGATTTTTCCACCGCGCGCTCAACAACAACCCGCCTTTCTTACGGCGCCCGCGCTGTGATCTGACGACTTCCCACGGCGTGCCGTCACTCACTTTCGACGCAGAAACAACCCCCGGCCATCGCCTGGCAGCTTTTTTCTGTTCGTTTCTCCACCGACACCACATTGTGCCATCAAGTGTCGCGCAGTTGCCATCCCCGCGGGCTTAGGACAATTTCGCGCGCCACCCCGCGGGCGAGGCGAAGGAACGTCCTGCTCGCGCCACCGCTGGCAGCTGCGCGCGCACGACAGGCGCGACGAATGCCCGGGTCGTCCTTTGGGCGCGCCCAGAATTCTCAAGGCACAGTGTGCAGTGAAGTGTAGGTGGCGCAAGTAATCCAAATCCGAAAATTGTCACAGGTGCCCTTTCTTCCTTTGAATCAAAATCACCTGCCGATGTGGCCGTGGCGAATGATGGAGGTGAATGGAGGAAACAAAGACAGGGAGGGCCAGGATCATTTCCCGCGTATCTTGTATTGCGGCGTCCCCTCCTTCCGTGCTTGGCCCTCCTGTTTCCCTCATCGTGCTTTTCTCCCCCCCCCGTTTCGCCAACACTCATACATCCCTTCCTCTTCCTCATCCTCGTCGGCGTTGTCCTCCTCCTCTTCGTTGGCTTCGCCTTTTCCGTTTTTGCAGCCACGCTCCCACCTTGCGATTTCGCTTTTGTTGTTCGCTTTTCTCTCTCTTTTCCTGGTCGTGCTCACGATCGGGCTCGCAGCCCTTCTCCCTCTCGGCTCATGCTCTTGGCCCCTAAACCATGTGGACCCTTGGTCCATTCTAACCCCCCCCCCACCCCCATTCGCGCGCTTCCTCCACCCGCACCCGCTCCCAATCCCGGTCCCACTCGCACTCGCCCTCCTGTTGCCAAGTTCGCTATAGCAAGAGAGAATGTTGCCCCCATCCAACATACTCAGGCACTCATGCGTCCATGAGCGGGCGTCACGCGCGCGTATGCGACACGCGTGCACCATCGTTCGCGCGTGCACGTGAGGCGTTCCAGCACGTTCTTCGCCTTTGAAGGTCGAAGGAGTTGATATCCCTTCCTCGGCGGAAGCAGACGGAGTACCGTCGGAATCTGACGGCAACAAAACGAGGGTGGCTCCGCTGGCGGAAAGCCGCAAGAATCTGGCGCGGAGACCGGAATCGTCCTCCCACGATAAGGCGAGTGTTTCAGTTCAGAGTTTCTGGAACCCGCCACGTGTATACGGGCACGCGAATGACAGGGTGGTGCGGCGCATGAGCTCGGCTCAGGTGCTGATACACGTGCGTCCGTGTGTCGTTCGCTGTGATGTGAATTGTGCACCGAGCATGTGGGCGCGTTGGTAATTACACGATTTCCCAATGGCCGCTTCGCGTTTTCCCGTCACGATAATCACAGAGCGGGCACGGGGGAGCAGCACTCAAGCGGTGGACGTACCATAAGGGGAGGGCGTCCACGCTGAGAATGCGACCTCGCAGGCGTGCTGCCTTCCCCGCGCATCTCTCTTGTTGCAAGATCGTGCGCCTCCTCAGCGCAATTGGGCTCGAGGAGCAAAGAGGCGCATTAACTTACATGTTCGGGGTTGAGCGCAGATTTCTTGGACCAGCGCAGGGCCACCCTGGTCAGCCCTCCGGCGCCGCCCCTTGGCGCGATCCGCGCGCCAAGGAGGGGGTGCCCACCGCAAGGCCCAGAAATCTGTTCTGGTGAGCGTTTTTGTTGTTGATGGTTTTGCCGATCGACGCGGGCCCTCGCACCCCGCCCTCTCCCCCCGTGGAGTAGGTCTTGGCTGTTTTTGGCGCCTGTTTCAGGCAGGTGGAGCCTCCCCCATAATGGACGCCCTAGTCCAAACAGTCGCACACAGCAGAGGTACAGAGCCAGACCCCCCACCCTCCCCCTCTCTTGATGTCGAAACGCAGAGAAAAAAGGTTTACACTTGTATGCCGTTGTGTCTTCCTCGATGGAAGCTTGCGCCGCACCTCCGCAAACCCAGGAGGCAAGGAGCTCGAAACGATGTCCTGGGCTGCCCGGCTTTCCTGGTGTGAGCGACGGAAGTCTAGGTTTCCTAGATGGGTTCGGCGCAACATGGGGTCGGATGATCGCGCCGCATCGCAGATGCGGCTCGATGTGGAGCCCGATGTTCTCCACGCCCACGTCGTCGATGCATCGCTGATGCCGACGATGCATGCAGGTGCATCGACGATGTTGCGCGATCCTCCGACCCCATCTACTCGGACTCATTATGATGGGAGGAGGAGGGAGCGCGACATGAAGTCCAGAAGAAGGAAGAGGACGGAGAGAAGAGGTGCAGGTACCAGGAGTACTGGATGAGGTCATGGGGTAGCGGGGCGTGAACCTCGAATGGCCATGCTATTTATGCTGTTTGTGTTGGTGGTGCCAGCGAGTCAAGAAGGGCGAGCGCGCCAAAGTCTTGGTCACGCGAGGTGTTCGCCTCGGCTGGACGGCCTCGACGCATGTGTGCCCGAGCATGTGGGGGCAATCTCGGAGTCTCCTGGGTCCTCCGCTGGAATTGGGCTCCGCTGCAGTCACAGGGGGTCGGTTGGGGATCGCTCCTCCTCCCCCTTCCGACTCCCTGGTCCATCTCCCCCTCCTCCATCACTCCTCTTCCTCCCCTTCTCCTCCTCCCTCGTCTTTCCTCATCCTCACTCCTCCCCTCCTTGTTTCCTCTTCCGTCCTATCCTATCTTCCTTCTCCCTCCCCTATTCCCCCTCCTCCTCCTCAACCTCCTCCTCCTCCTTCTCCACCTCCTCCACCTCTCCCACATTGGGGATGCGTTGGCTGCCTGACTGCATTGTGGTAGGGCTTGCCGTTGGGCTACTCATCGGCCCTTTCTGGGCCCCAGAGCGCTCTCCTGGTGCCCTCGTTTTCAATGCGGGGGTTTTCTCAGGGGCTATCTTGACATTCCCTGGAGTTCTTGGAGGATCTGGACGTCCTTGGCAGATCGTAAACCGACTGTCACTATGGCAGCCTGACGCATCATTTGGGGTCTCGCAGGCTTGCCCCCCTCAAACAGGACTGTGGACTTCTGGAGAGGGGGGAAAGACATGTGGGGAGGTCGGAGGCAGCTGTCCGCCTGACCCGCCGTGTCACCCCCGTGATTGCGGACACAGCCGCTCTGAATAGTTTTGCCCCCCCCCCCCCCCCCCGTTTGGCAACGTCATCGCTGACGCCTCCATGTTTCAGGAGGAGGAGGAGGAGGAGGAGGACGAGGATGGAGAGGGGGAGGTGGAGGTGGAGGAGGAGGAGGAGGACGATGGTGTGGAGGAGAAGGAGGAGGAGGAGGAGGCGGAGGCGGAGGCGGAGGCGGAGATGGGGTAGGATGAGGAGTAGGAGCAGTTGGAGGAGTTGGAGGCGGATGCACAGGTGCTATCCGCGTCCTCCCCTCTTGGCTTGAATACAACCAGCTCGATTCGTTTATGTTTTCTTTGTGGTCATTTTGCTACGTGTGTTTTCTTTCGCGTGTTGGGTTGCCAGGAGTGTGGACTTCTTCGTTGGGCTGAAGTCTTGAGCGACCATCTAGACAGTGCCCGTGCATGTCGGAGTGTTAGCAGACATGTACCCTCACTCCCGACGGCTAGCATGATAGTCCCCCTTCACAGATCAGCACACCAGTTCATGCCGGAGAAGCAATGGATTTCCGCACAGGGCTTGAGGGCGCGCGACTTGACATTCAGTAGGGGAGCGAACGTGTGTTATTTCTATGTGCAGGGCACGGGATGAGTACTCTTGTATTTGTGTACCCTGTGTACTTGCTAAGAACTCGGTTTCCCCACTCGGCCTTGCCTTAGTGGTAGAAGCCTGTGGGCGCGGGGCCAAACTTCCGGAGGCGGCACCCAGGTTTGCCCGGGTGTGCTTGTCACGAGTGCAGGCCGCGTCGGGCCTTCTGGAGACTCTTCAGGCTGCCACCGGTAAGCTAGCAATTCACAACAAGACTATTGTTCGACTAGCTCGCCGCGTGCGCGAGGATAGTTGGCCGTGGGGCTGCTGTTGCCGCTGCTTCCCCCCTGCGCGTTTCGCGCCCCCCCCTCCTCCTCCCCTCCTCCTCCTCCTCCTCCTCCTCCTCCTCCTCCTCCTCCTCCTCCTCCTCCTCCTCCTCCTCCTCCTCCTCCTCCTCCTCCTCCTCCTCCTCCTCCTCCTCCTCCTCCTCCTCCTCCTCCTCCTCCTCCCTGCGCGGTGCTGACGGGGCTGGCTGCGCTGGGACTCTGGTCGAGCGCGGCTACCACGCCTTGACCTGCCAGCGGGGCGGGGGGGTGCTGGCGCGCCACGGCGGACTCAACAGGAGGGTCGCTGGGCTCCTCCACCGCTGGCGCGGCGAGCTGCCCCCTCTCGAGCAGAGGGTGCCGACTTGGGACCGCCAGCGCCCAGACGGCCAGCTCGAGCGCGCCATCCTGGATCTGGAATGCCAGGAAGACGACGGGGCCCGGTGGCTGGATGTCTCTGATCGCCACCCCGCAGACGGCACGCAGGCCGAGCTGCGCGTGGCTGCACGCCAGGACGGCGAGGCCAGCAGCCGCGGCGAGCTTGAAAAGCACGCGCGCTACCCGGGCGCCCAACTCACGCCCTTCGTCCTCGAGGCGGGGGGGCGGCTCGGCGCCGAGGCCCGCCTCTGGCTGCTCGGGCAGGTGCGACGCCTGCCTGAAGACCAGCAGCCGCGGGAGCTGGCACGGGCCTGCGCCCTGCCGCAGCGACGCCCGCAGGACGCGGCCCGCCCGCGCTGAAGCTGGAGACCCGTGAAGCGGCCCTGGAGGGGCTGCCAGCTGGCACGACGGGCGGCGAGGACCGGGCTGCCGCCTGGCGGTGCAGCCGGCTGCACGACGGGACGCCGCGGCGCGGGCGCCGGCATCCTTGCCTGGGCTGGCCGCGGGCACGGGTAGGACGGCGATGGCGGCGACGCGGGGCCCGAGCCGCAGGGTGGCGCAGGTCGTCGCGGTCGCCACGGAGCTCCCGGGCATGCTGTCCAGAGGCCACGGCTGGCAGATCCCCTCCCCCTTCCTGGGAGTTCCTGCTGCCTGAAACAGCTATAGCCCCCCCCAAGGTTCCGCCCCTGTTGGCAGGGCGGCGGGGGTGTCTGCCGGCCCCCGACTAATGTGCGTCGGGCGCGCGGGAAAGACCCGCGTCCGCCGCGCTTCCTCCTCCTCCTCCTCCTCCTCCTCCTTCTCTCTCCTCCTCCCTGTTATCCTGCATATCCTCCTCCTCCTCCTCCTCCTCCTCCTCCTCCTCCTCTTCCCCCTCCTCTCTTCCTTCTCCTCCTCCTCCTCCTCCTCCTCCTCCCCATCCTCCCTCTCTTCTTCGTCCCCTTCTACCTCCTCCTCCTCCTCCTCCTCCTCCTCCTGCTCCTGCTCCTCCTCCTCCTCCTCCTCCTCCTGCTCCTGCTCCTCCTCCTCCTCCTCCTCCTCTCTACCTCTTCCTCCTTCTGTCACCCTACTCCCTCCCCGCCCGGGGGCGCGAAGTTTTTTTGGGCGCCGCGCGACCCTCCTGATGTTTGGGTCAGGGGATTTCGCCCGCAAGCCCGTGGAAACTCGAATTTTGTGGGTACGATCAATGGAGAGGAGGCATGTTGTCAAACACTTGCCAAACGCATAAACATGTTCCAAACATGTTCAATACATGCATCACAGCCTTTTTATTTCAAACATGTGTACCACAGTTTCAAACATTTTAAGTGCGCATCCTAAATTCAATGATCGGACTGTTTGAGTGTCCATTGCCGTGGCATGCGCAGCTCTAACTGTTGGTTCGCGTTGTGCCCTCCGTTGCCTCGGGCTCCCTGGTTTGGTCTTGTTGCCTCGTTCGGCTTTGCTCGGGTTTTTCGCTCTTGTTTCCCAGCTGCCTTTTTCGGATTCCTTGGTCTGTGTTTCTTCCCGTAGTGAGGCTCGAGGTTGCTTCGTCTCCATGGAGGTAGTAGGGTAGCGATCTATCACTGTACATGTGTTTGGGTGTCCATCCCGTCGTGCTCACGGGTCGTATGTGCGCTCTCGCTCCTGCGCGCGCGCGTAGCACGCACCGTGTTTGTTGGTCAGGGTCAACGGCGCAGCGTCCCAAATGCATGCCATATCGCCTCATCGGGCGACAACAGTTGGATGGTTGGACAAGGAGGGGCAATGCACGCCCCAATGCGAAGCGGGAGGGGGGGAGGATACGAACTGCGAAAATGAACGAGGAGGGCGGATGATCAATTGGCAGAGCATGAGGATGCCGGCTGAGGTGGAGGAGGAGGAGGAGGAGGAGGAGGAGGAGGGACCAGTGTAAGCCCAAGACTCATCAACGATGTTGCAAGATACCTTGTCGCCACGCTCCCTCTTCACAGGTTCCTACAAGGTATCAGCATTCCACTGAGCGAGGTGCCCCCGTTGGAAGACAAACGTTTGAAAATCTTCAATCTGCGTCAGAACATAATTCCTGGGATTTCAACGCCGCGAATCAGCGTTACTGTCGCGCGTCGGCGATCATGAAGCGTGCA